AAATTTATAGTTATGCATCACTAGGTGTGCCAATATATCAAAAGGAAAACTCTCTTTCAAAGCTGTGCAAAAACCTCTGTATGAAAATTGCAATGGATGAAAATGCGAGGTGAACAAGTACTCGAGATCTGTTAGAAGAAGCAGTATAAGGCAAAGAGGTTTCACGTCTCTCTAGCGGTCTCCGAGGCAACCACGGATCACGAGAGACCGTAATGTGTTGGTCACCCTTGAGACTGGCTAGTGCTATTCTTCTTTCATCAAATTTACAAAGAATTACATTCTGATAAGGGTTTATTAGAGAAATGAATATTACACTTTCTATATTTAGTAACCAAAACGTTCAATTTTGTTGTCAGTTAGCTCTTTCCAATTTGATTGCTCTTCATGCTAAGATATCGCTGTGCAAGTTGCAGTAGTTTTGATAAACACGGAACTCTACAGTTCTAAGACAGGCGTTCTCCGCTTCAAATGTAAATAATCATGGAGATATTCTATACCAATCTTTTCCATTGCGTCATCCACGTCTCGTATCACATAATTACCACTGGAAAAAAATCGCCACGACTTTGCTGTCCTTTAGAGCTGAGTCGGTCATTATATTGACTTTTCGTTCTAGATACACTTGAGTGGAACAATTGAAGACATTCTGTCCGTTGGGCCTGATTAGAGCATATAGATACCAATCCATAGCTCAGAACGAGATTTACCAGAATGTTATACGAAGATGATTTTAGCGAAGCCAAGACGGTGTGATTACTAGCCATGCCTTTGCACCACCATGCAACGTCTTCACATGATGTATAGTAAAGTCCGTGAATATGAGGCAAGATGCCATCGGCCTGACTAGCCTCTCTGTTTTGCAACGATAGAAAAAGATCACCGTAGAATAACGATATTTTGGTATGGCTGTAAAACCTTTGTATAGTCATGACAAATCTTTCCTTACTAGTCAGAGCTACTCAAGCCGTCCAAAATTTCTCTGACTGCTCATATTCCACTGAATCGAATCCTTTTCTATGTTTAGATGGGACATGACATGATTTGAATTTTGCGATGTCAAATCTGACTCGGGTACTGTAATAGCAGCGTCCCTTCTCGTGGGAGAGCAAGCTGGCAGCCGCGCATGCTTGCACAGAGTAATGGCAGCATTGCGCCTCGTGGGAAAGCGACGGCGCGACTTGACTAAGTAATAAGAATATTCTGGTTACTACCTCTTCCTCTCAACCCTCACAGACGGAAAAGGCATTAGTAAGAAACACGTATCGAACAGCTGCCAGTGTGTGCACTGGAATAGAGCATAGAGTAGAATCCTGAAACTAGCCCGTAAAATAACCTTTTCTAACGGATACGAATTCGTATCCCCTCGGCTTAGGTTTGAGGAAAGAACACGCCTCCGGTCAAAAATTGTCAACGAAAGCGCAGTTCTGTTCACCCTCCCTTTCAGTTCAAATGACATTAATACAACCATAAAACGTTGTCTGGAAAGAGCACGTTTAGAAGATTTGATAACGATTATTGAAATACCATTGAATGTTTTAAGGTGCCAACGAGCTCGAAATCGCTTCTATAAACGTCTCTATGTAGTAAAAGCTTGGAAAATATGTCCATGGCAGCGGTGATTATTGCATGAGCGTGGGAACAATTTATCTGATCCCTTGCAGTGCGTGCGGCGATAACTGTACTAACGAGACCAGTAAGCCGTTTTGTGCCCGCATAGAAAAATAGCTAACTGACAAGAGTCTCATTAGAGGGAACACACCTTCAGTCAGAGACAGAGGGCAGAGGCATGGAGGAGTAGATTTTCACATAGAAATCACCGTCCTTGCGCAAGAACATAAAACATCAGCGCGAAAGATTTTCTGAGCGTTTTGGATTGACACGACTGTTCCATCATAAGCCGTAGGGAAGAATGTCTTGCTATCACTCGTGATATGAGCCAGCATATAAAACTGTTGCTTCGATGGGTGGGATGATTACAAGCCTATGTGCTCTCCTTCGAGTGATCTCCACATGAATTCTTCGTTGAGAGTTGATTCGTTCCATTGTTAACACGTTGACAACCTTCGTAACTATTATTAGCTCAGACCGTACGCTCCATTTGCGCGTGCGGCGCGGGGAGTCTCTACTATTACACCTGATCAATGACAATATATGAATACCCATGTGCCGGCCGCGAGACGTCTACGACGTCAACGACCTGGCCCGGGCAGTCGGGCTCAACACTGAACTCAGTCACTGACAAATATTGGGTTTTATAGATCACATGATAATCTCTTTATTTAACCGCTTATAGCGGTGGATGATGTTCGAAATATATATCCATTGATGTACAGCGTTGTACAATACATTTCGCGTCAAGCGGGACTAGAGCCCGCACCTCATTCTTTCAAGGAACGCGTGCCCTTACCTTTACACTACTGACGCCCATTTTGGCATCGCTCCTTCTACGCTACAGCGCCAAAATTTTGCACATTACTCTATAACACTGGATACATCTATTACATCATCACCTGTCACCTATCGTCCCGCTTATGGTCGAATGGACTTACCAGCAACTCTTCCCTTTTTCCCTATCGCGGGCAAGAGTAGCCCAGTGGGTCCTTCTTGCTCTAGGGATTCGCTGAGCATCATATCTTTCTTCTATCGCTTCCGTGAAGAAATCCGACCAACGGGTATGCGGTCTTCTCTTAAAGCGCTTGACGTCCCGAGGAATCCAATCGGTAACGGCTCTCGTCCATCGGTTGTCGTTAAAGCGCATCACGTGTCTTGCCCACCTTATTTTCGATATCCTGGCGTGTAGAACGGCGTCTCTGGTTTTCGATCGTTGACGTAGGTCGGAACATCGGATCCTTTCTCTCATTTGCGAGATACGGGATACTCCTAGCGTCGACCTTTCAACACCGCGTTCAATAGCGCCAAGTGATCTTTCATCCTGCTTACATAGCGACCAGGTTTCTGCTGCATACGTTAGGGCAGGGATAATTGTCGAGTCGAAAAGGTGGGCACGGAGTCGGATGTTCTTTGCCCTCTTCACTACATCTTCGATGCTCTTAAACGTTCACCAAGCCGCTCGTTTCCTCCTGCTCAGTTCTGGAGCTAGGTTATTCATCATGTTGATTTCACGACCTAGAGAGACGTAAATGGAGCATTCGGAGATTTTTGTTCCCTTGAGCGTGAATAGGGCAATCGAAACCCATCCGTTCCTCATAACATTGTTTTCGTTAGATTCAGTTGAAGACCAATCTTTCCACAGACGTTATCAAAATCGGTCAACATTCGTTCCGCTTGGCTGATGTTTGATGTTATAAGAACGATATCATCTGCAAAGCGAAGATGATTTAATTGTCGATCGTCAATTTTCACTCCCATACCGTCCCATTTTAATGTTCGCATGACGTTTTGTATGGTGGCCAGTGAATAGTTTTGGCGAAATTGTATCGCCTTGTCGAACCCCTCTTCTCACGTCAGTGGTAATATTGTTGTAGAATGGAGATATTTTGGTCGTGAAATCTTTATAAAGCTCACGAAGGATCATTATGTACCGGGTAGGGACGCCACGGCTATCCAGAGCCTCTATAACCGCTTCTGTTTCCACTGAATCAAAGGCTTTCTTCAGATCGATGAAAGTGAGACAGAGTGATTGTTTGTACTTTCGTGAAACTTCAATGAGTCATGTAATTGTGTGGATGTGGTCTATGGTACTAAATCCTTTTCGGAACCCTGCTTGTTCGCATGGCTGTCCTTCGCCCAGTGTTCATTCAATCCTGTTCAGGATGACTCGAGTAAAGAGTTTATAGATAACGGACAGCAAGCAGATTGGGCGATAATTGCCTATGTCGTGAAGGTCTCCCTTTTTGAACAACAATACGGTCTTGTTGGTTTTCCATTGAATAGGGACCTTGCATTCTGGCAGGTAGCGAGTGAAGAGCCGAGCCAGAGTGTTGATGAAAACTGGCGGCGAATTCTTAGATGTTCTGGTCTACTCCTGTCTGGACCGGGTGTTGTTCTGTTCTTCACCGACGATATAGCATGTCGGATTTCGGAAGGGTGGACCGGTGGGACGACATATTAGTTTTCTTTCAATTTATATACGATAAGAGGGCATGGCTAGCGAAGAGATCCGAGTAGTATTGGTGGATGGTTTTCTCCATAGCCCTTCTCGAAGCTGTATGTGTCCCGTCAGGGTATCGGAGTGCAATCATCTTGGTCTTATAATTGTCGAAGCCTCGCTGGGCTTTGCAAATGCTCTTCCTAGCTTCTGCAGTTCTGCCATAACTGCCATAACATCATACCACCACAAAAAGCGGTCAAATAAAAGGAATATCCTCTGATCTATAATACCCAATATGTCAGCGTGACCGGGTTCAATGTCGAGACCGACTACCCGGGTCAGGCCGTTGGCCGCTGGCGGATGACAGGTGGTTACTCTGTAGCGTTGAAAGATCGATATGCAATATGGGCATCAGTAGTGTAACGGATAGAGCACGCATTCCCGGAAAGAGTGAGGAGCGGGTTCTAGTCCGACCTGACACGAAAGCTTTGCACATCGCTCTGAATCAATGAGTATAATTCGAACATCATACGACCTCTATAAGCGGTTAAATAAATGAAATATCATCTGATCTACTATACGCGATATATGAATATATGAATTTATTTGGTAATCTAAGTACTAAGAAAATATTATTGTGATTAGATGATGAAATATAGCAAAAGAGACTTCTGTAAGAGGTTTCATAGTTAAGAGAATGCCTATGTATCAAGAAATCATTTATGTTCCAACGAGCAAAGCACATTGTTGTGAAAGCGAAAATATTTCCAGTTGTTATATAACGCCGTCTCTTTCTTTTTCAACCATATTTTTGTAGTCATTGGATGATAGAATAAAAGGATAAACCCCTCGGCGTTGTTTAATCCCTGAGGGTTGGCGCCATGCACTCGTCTTCAATTTCTAACTTCGTTTTGATGATTGAGTATATATCTGGCCCTTACAGTGACCCGCGGTGCTCTCCAGCTGAACCGAGTCAGTGCTGCTTATCCTCCCAGACAGGTTTGCGACAAGTTTGGTACTAACTTACCGACCTATGAGGGATGGATTTCTCGGTGAGCCATGAGCGCGAGGTAGAACCATTGACGTCGTGTGCGACGCAGAGCACCTCTAACCACTGCGCCACATGGGCTCTAGTCATCCGATAACTTGATAAATGTCTATGCCATTCTATGAAAGACGAATATGATTGAAATATGGATGAATATATGTAAGATGACATAACGATGTGACTGAGAAATTGGAGAATTGCTTTGCTTAGAATTGATTGTTCAGAATTGCAATCTTGCCTGCTTAGATCAATCTTAGATTTATCCTAGATTGGAATTATTCAAAATTGTTTACTGTTTGTCTTTGATTTTGGGATAACCCATATCAGCGCATAAGAATCTGTAATAGACATTGGCAGTATAACTATGATTTTGCTGACATTATTCCCAGAGTATAAAGTAATTTACCTGTTTATCTCGCGAGTACCATACCACAGCCAAACACTCAGCTCTCCGCTAATTCCATATACCACTTGATCATTAGAATGCAGTATTTTCGAATTTTTCAGAAAAGCTTAATGCTCAGCTTTTCGATACTTCGTGCCTTGCATGTGAGTGACGTTGTCATCCATTACAATTGTACTCAAACTTTTCGCCGCCTTCATCTTTCTAATCGATGTAGGGTTTATTGTTTATACTTCATTTAGCTCATTCATTCCACTTGGTTCAGCGTTGATATCCAAGCAGGCAGTGATGGGATAGTACGAGATAACGAGGAAGCTGCTTGTACGCATAAAATCCGTGCAAGAAAAGCTTGACCCCGTCTCGTCGGGTACAATATCGTCAAAATTACGTTCCACAAAAAGAATGTCTGGTTTACGTGATTCGTGTTACCTTTAGCTGAAAGTGAAGCACCTTCGTTTAACGTTCCGTCGTCAAAGTGGCCCGCTTAAGAGTGAAATTATTTGGAAAATAATATCAGATCATTTATTGTTTAGTTTCATTGTCTTTGTTCTGGAATTTCATTACCAACTCATCCAATAATTTCTGTAGCTGTAACCATTTTTCTCTAGGTTTTCTAATACGTGAGCTATGATATGACTAGCTACAGCGATGACATTTTTCGGATCTTTTCTAGAATCCCGTTGCATTTTAGCTTTGGCTTAGGCTTACGCTTGGGCATAATTGATATTGACTTTGACTTATATGTTCAGATAGTGCGAATAAAGACATTTGACAACAGCATTATCTAATTTTCATAGCAAGATAAGATGTTTCTAATGCGGTAGGATTCTAGAGAAGGATGTTTGAAATTGCGGAGTCATTTGAACCTTCGGTAAAAATGTATTTTTGCTTTTGCAAAGCGTTTCTGTAGTTTATCGATAGCTCAAATAGATTGAATTTCAATGGCTTGTTTAATTTCTCAAAAGCTTATCTTTGGCGCCGTACCAGTCAAAATAAGATTTCGTCCCTCATGTGAAGATTTCTTACTGAATGAAAGTTTTATTGCAATGGACTTGTAATTGTTAGATAGAGAAAATCTTTCCGACTTCAATGGGTTATTTGGCTGTCGAAAACGACTTTTTTGAGCCTTTTAACGACCGAAAGAATATTCTGTTTCACACACAGTAGGCACTTCTAGTCGGATAAGGTACCAATTGCAGAGCTCTAGGAAGTTCTTTCCAAAAAGCAAACACATTTTCTCAATCAGAAGGACTCGTTCTATCTAGTGGTCAAATTTTGTTATAAAAAAACTTTTATCAAGCATGAAATATCAAATGTGAAATAAGATCTTATTTTGAGTGGTAAGGCGTTGAAAACAAGCAATATGAGGAATAAAATATACTTTCAAGATTCCCTTGTTTTAAGCTATCAGATAACCATACATTCGTCAGATAACAGCAAAGAATACGCTTTTACCGATGGCCTCAATTGGCGTCGCAATAATAAAACAGTACCAAAAATGTGGCAGAATTCTAGAAAAGATCCCATTTTTTAAAGCACAATATGTTAATGATGTCAGTGTACCCTAGCAAGAACGCAATTTCTTCCTGTGCTTTTCAAAATCTGATATCTTATGTATTTTATCTCTTTTTTCCTGCTCTGATGTTTCCTCAATAGATTTGAATTTTTCGTTACCCGTATGTTCACATTTTTAGAACCAGCTGTCCAATGTCGAATGTCAGTTTTCATTTCAGGATTTACTTCTTTTATGATCTTTAGATATGCTGCCTGTACATCTTATGACACGCTGTGATATAAATATAACAACAACAATGCTGAAATACAAGCAAATCGCATAACCTCAGCTGAGCTTCAAACTCATGCATTTCCCGTGGCCCTCGTTGCCACCCACTGCAACACCAAGGTTCTCTTTCGTCCTTGCC